CCTCTCTCTCTCTCTATATATATACATATATATATATATATATATATATATATATATATACAGCATAATAAATCAATACTAGGAAATAAGTGAGGTTGACGTATGAAGAAAGTAGGTGAGAAAATCAACAGTTACACCCAAAAATTATATATATATATATATATATATATATATATATATATATATATATATATATATATATATATATATGCATAATATCAAGCAAACAAGATTCTACATATTTCTTTAAGGTAATGTCTAAGTATATGGTCATCCGGTTAAATAATTATCTACTTTTCTGATTTGTATTTATTTAAAATACATTTGAAGGACAACTAACATAAGTCAGTTTTAATATGAAATAAATAATAATGACCAAGTAAAGTTATGTATACATACTTACCGACAAGGTTATCAAAATTATTGCACAACTTAATATAAAGATGTTTTCACTTCATAAGTGATCAGTTCGTTCTATAATCACTAGCTTAAGAATCTTTACATATAGAGTAAATAATGGTATACAGTGTTTCATTATAAAATTGAGACAGTATTAATCATTTTTCGTCAATATGATAATGGCAATTCATCACGTTTAACACACATTAATTCTTAAAATGTATTGGCTAAGTAATATTACAATAGTGTTTTTCTTGTTACACAGCAGATCTAATGAATTAGATGCAATATTTTTACATAATGATGAATATATGATAAAAAGTAGTAGCGTGGTGTATACTGACAAATTTAAGTAGTGTGTAGCATGAATAGGAAGTGGAATAATTCCCAGCAGAAGATTGAAATAAAGAGAACAAGATGGAAACGATGAGTAATCGGAATAACAATAGAATCAGAAGAATGATGGAATATATAAAGGAAAATTAAAGGGAGATGTTCAAAAGATATACTTAATGTATGAGTTTCATATTGTACAAAGGTACTTCGTGATTTGGCATAAAAAAATAAATTGGTTTACCGTACCTAATCTCTCGTTCACTACATTAATACATGGGAAAAGAAATGTAAGCCAATTTAATGTCGCATTTTATTAGTTTAGATTTTGCTTGAATGTTTGAATTTCAGAAATATAAAACTAATAACAACACCAGAGAAAAGAAATAGAACAGTAAGAATGGTAGTAAAAAATTACAATTATTCATAAAACAAATACCTTATTCACTTTTCAGTGTAAATTTATTCTTTCATATTGTTCAATTTTTCAAAACTCTTCTGTTTTTTAGGCTTTCCTCTCATTTAATTGAAGTATTTTCTATGTTGAGAAATATTCGTTTATTTGATTATTATTATTACTTATAAGTTTGTATATAGACAGTCTTCCACCATGGTCACATGAATCCAGCACTGTCGGAGTTCACTTCTTTTAACGAGTTCACTAAATAGCATCTGTTAACAACCGATCCTAATCTGCAAGGGTATTTACAAGCTTTCTAATCAGTATTATGCACGAGTGAAACACTATTTTAAAGAGAACAAGAACAAAGATTGGTGCAATCTTTGTTCTTGCTCTCTTTAAGATAATAAAGGGAACTATGTGTATGAAACACTATTTGATGACCGAGATAAGAATGAAAGGCTGTTTGCATTAAACCTACTCATAATGGATTTTCTGAAGGGTTATATGAATTATTCAAAAAACCTAATGCAGTAAGGTGAACAAAAAATAATATTCTTCAATTCTTTTCTTTCACTATACCTTCATTTTCCGATAATTATTTCGTATTTATAGACAGTCAAGCAGCCCGTAATTATTTAACATTTCATTAATAAAATAGTATAAACTATCGGTATCGATTTCATTTTATCAGCTATATCCTTGAAATGCCTATCAATAGCCTGATATGTTCGTATAGACAGTATACGTTTTCTGTAATCAGTAAACTCACTAGTTGATTGTTATTTGACTTATTTTTCTCTATAAGTGCTGATTACCAACAATCGATGTGTACGGATAAGTAAGCAATTAAATACCTTCTGAGCTGATAGTAAAAACGTCTTATGCATAAACCTAAATATTGTTTGTATTACCATTATACAAGGATTCTGACATTTCAATGGATTTAAAATTAAGCTGCTAAAGTTTGAAAATTTTTAAATCAAGCCTAATTTTATACTTTTAGCCGTATGAACAAGATTATCAGAATATGTGACGAATGCAATCTTAATGAACCAAATCTATAGTTTTCTTTGACATCATGAACTGATCTAAGTTAAATAATCACTAAAAAACCTGGAAGCAGTAGGCAGGGCTACGATTTAGTAAAGGACTCCTCAACAACACACAGGAATCAAATACAGAACCTTTGGTCTCGAGCACAAACCCTTAAACTCTAGACAAAGTAAGCCGTCATCCAACGGTACATATGTTTAAGCTCAGTCGTCGGAAAAATTAAAAAAACCACAGTTTTTTAAAAAGGAATATAAAACTGGAAAATATTATCAAGTTATTTCCAAAGGAAGCTTTGAATTAATCCTCGAAAAATAAATCATTCTTTATGTTCTATACAAAATTAAATTCTAAACTTAGAAAAATCTGCACCAGTAATTATTCTCTTCTCATTTACTTCATTCCACACCTAATTTATTTGTTTTATTCCAATTAAATAAAAATCATATTTACCCCCCTCCCCTCCCCCAAAAAAGAGGTAGAAAATGTTTATTTTTTTTTGCTTTTATCACCATTTATTAAAACTACCACGTATTTATAGAATTTAGTTTATTCAACTTATTTTTGTCCACAAAATAGATTATGAGCAACAAATAAAACTAAAAAAAAATTAGAAAAATTTGTTGATCAGTAAGTTCTATATATTATTTTGTATATAGAAATTAAATGTTTGTTTTCATTTTTCCTAATAAATAATTTATTGAATTTAATGAATATAAACAATATTTAAAAGAACAGATTTATGAGTAAGTTGAATTCAACAATATAATCGACCTATTTTAAGTCTATAAATAAAACTGGATTATATTCATAGACTTCGTTCTAATGATAGAGATATTACTAATGACTAAAGATATTGTATGAAAGAATGTGTTATTTGTTTTATATTAAAGGATAAGCAGTTTAGACTAAATGACTAAATATTATAGGGTTGAACAAGTAGAAACAGCAACTGAACTATAAATAATGAAATTCAGTTTTATTATATGATTAACAATCATTGAGATTTTTATGCTTTGCAAAAAAAGAAAAATGTTTGCTCTAAGATCTTGTCAAACACCGTAGTGTTTTTCAGTTAGGATTATCAATTTATTACTGTAGATTGAAATATGACTGAAAAACGTTTCTCTATTCTTTATTTTCTCATTATTCTTTGATCTGTGTGGTTCCACACTTTTAAAAGTAACCCTGTGATCTGTATTTTATACCTGTGTAAATCATATATAATAATCATGACCTCGCTTTGATCTCTTTTACCGGAGCCAGAAAGCTTCTCCAGTTCACTCTCGTTTTAGTCATAAGGACTGCTTCAAATCGATTCGGGCTTACAAAGATTTTTAAGACAATTTTTGAAACATCTTAACTTTTTGAACTACCTGACAGTAATAAGTTCTATTTTCTATACTTGTACTGTCTACAAGAAAATGAATATCTACGCAATATTCGTTTACTGTAATATTCAGTCTAAAGCAATATAATAAAAGTTAAGTTGAAAATATGTTTAGAGAATACAACTATCTAACAGTTTCAAACTGTAAATTTCATACACTGAAAAATTCAGACAGAAGAATACAAACTGTACTCATATTATGAAAAGATAGAGCGGGTTTTCCTCTTCTTTTGTGATAAACTAATTCCAAAATTACATTTTCATAATATTATATATTCACTTTTTCTCATCAAAATGTTAAAATTGATGGAAAACTTTGGGTGATTAGATCCAGTTTAACAAGTACTTGATCCAAAGCTACATTTTTTGCAAGAGCTACTAACCTAACCCTAAATCGAAAGTTGAAGAGCGACATTCGTACCTACTACGAGTTAACTAAAGCCATTGAATTTAACCACAAAGTCAACCTCCAACTATACAACACGTTCAAAGTTTACATTTCTTACTATGGAATCATTAAAAGCACAATGCGAAATTGTTACAAGTTTAACAAAATAGCTTGTTATGATAAAAGTGTGTCAGTAAAGGACATATTCCTAAGTATATCTACGCATTCAAAACTGTAACTAGTATTTAGCAAAATATATATTTACATATAAGTAACAGGTACGTAAAAGTAGTAGTGACATTTGAATCACTTTAAATCATTGAATTACACCCACAGTGACTTGTTCATTGTTTTTCGCACGCTATCTTGAAAGATCACCTTTTCTTAATGACCAAACTTCTAGTTATTTATTTCAAATGACGTGATACTTCAATAGAAAAGAATCTAGATATGAGAATAATCTTCATCATTAATTGATACACAATTTAGAAGCATTAAACTTAAAAAATTAAGATAGGAATCTGTTCCGTGACTGTTTTTGATTTTATAATATTATATACGCATGACTTCATTACGGATAGAATCTAATGTATCAACACATCGTAGAAACATTATTAAGCTGACGAGTTGGAGATTACTGGGTTACAATAACAACTACAAACAATTCGTAATACAATAAGAAAATATTCAATAATGATTGTGATATCGTGAGTCAATCGGACATAGACCAAAAGATGAGAACACATAACCGACCAAGATGTAACGGATACTCAAAATAATGTCTCCAATTTTTAGGACATAAAAGTGCTTTTTTATGAGTGGATGTACGTTTGTTCTCTATTTGGTTTTGCTAAATAATACTCCTCTATCTCGATCTCTTCATTCAAGTAGCTGATCTGGGCTCGAATATAGGTAGCCAATATATCTACATCAGGCCCGGACGACGGCACAACATAGATGATTATGTCATATTAGTTACAACGAAAAATTTAAACAAATATCACACACTTTTATTAATATACAAATACATAGCTTACCTGATGCTTTTATTTCATTTTGTATCAACGATAAAATATTCATCCAAGTTTGTTCATCATTAACAAATAATTTCGTCATATAAGTAATTAATTCAATGATTGAATTTATGTCAGTTATAATTAGAAATGCTTTGGAGCCCCATAACCGCTGTAAATTCATCGTAATACAACAGTTGTGACATTTGTCAATATTACAAGGACAAAATGATGATTGCGTGTCAGAAGTATTGACTGTATTTCTTTGAACATATATATTGTAAACTGAATATAATGAATTATGATTTAAGTGATCACATGTTTCATGAGAAACTACATTATTGGAAAATGTAATCTCTGAGGTATCTTGTAAATTATAGTTATCACCTGTTACAGAAATTGTGTTCTCGTCATTTTTCTTCAATATACACTCGAACATTTGATGTTCTATGTAAAAAATAACAAGAGAAATAGAAATAAACTGAACTGGATAACATTTTTTTGTTAAAACAAGGATAAGTTTTAATTCAGAAAACACCGTGTATTATACCTGTTATAACGTAAAATACAGAAAAGCTTGCAGTTTTTCACTGGAAGACAAATATAAACAAATTTTGATCATTGTTTATAAATATTTACCCTAGCCTATAAAATTAAATATCTTGGTCTTGTAGGAGAACAAATACTGATTGAGTACCTCGAAATCGGAAGCTGAGTGATCCGAGTTGAACTTCCACAAGATTCATACAAGATTGCAGGTTTATCATGAGAACGTATTTTAACTACAATGAAAACGAAATCCAGAATTTCCTGTCAATTATCCTCAATCATCTAACAAAAATGTACAGTTAACGATTTATTTAAGGTTTCAATCAAGTTTCGATGACATAAAGCTTTAGCATTATGATACGTTATGTCATAATTTCATTTTCATGATTCAACTGATAAGAAGTTGCATGGACGTTCTAAAAGATTTCCAAAAATAACTGAAGAATATTCTATAATTCATCAATGAAAAACAAGCATAATCTCCATGAGATAACCTGTTGATGCCAGTCGACAGAGAACTTATAGTATTACGAGTTGATTAGATTTAAAATAGAAATTTTCGAGCTTAATGCTAGGACGGTTTTGTTGCAACAGCGGTTATATTGCAAGGTACTGATGAGTTCCATATTGGAACTTTCTTGTTCCATTGGTCGTTTACCTGAATTCAGTCCATAATGTAATTTACAAACCGTTTTACAATTTTAAATCCTTGATAGATTACATTATAAAAGTTCATATCTTTATAGCCGAGAGCTAATATTCGTTAATTTACACAAAAGTATAACTTTAAGATTATTATTATGGTAGAACACTGATGCATAAATCCTGATCATCATGTATTTCAATGAATACCGCCTATAAACTGAGAATGGTATAGCCCAGAGTTAATTTTTTATGATGCCATACAAAAATGCCATAAATAAAAAAATTTGATAACTTTTATCTCATTAGGAAGAGAAATTAAAAGAAAACTAATATATCTGTGTGGCCCTAGACTAAGTTAAATCTAAGCACAGTGAAATAGGCAGTGTTAGATGGTAGCTAGTAGTAGAATCCAGGACTTGTGTTTCGCCTTATTGGGGACTCGTCAACTGAATATGCCTGTTGATGTCCACTTCGGGACTTGAACCTAGTGCCATTCGCTCTAAACGTTACCACATTATCCACTTAGCTACAAAGTTTAAATAGTTGCTAGCTTTTGCATTGAGAAGATTAAAACAGCCAATACAAATGAATTAAAGTGAAATAGATTTCATCAAAATCTAATCAAATTCTGAAAAGTAAAAGAGAGAAAGGAAATGGATCATAACTTTTAGAGACGTTGAAAAGCTAAATACTCAATAGACAAGTGTAATGATAAATAAAAATCAGCTGATTTACCTGGTAAAAAGTGATTTAAGAGTATAATCCAAATATTATTTAAATAAGTCTTGAGAATTATATTTATCAAATAATCAAATACTTGAGAAATACTTAATGCACTGTTTATTGATTACCATAGCATATTATGATAGCTAAAAGTTGTAAAATCATGATTTACCTAAATATATTGTTTCACTGTCAACAAAAGAAAACAGTCATTTACGTTTTTATTGTTGCTGCATATACGAACAGTTATATTTGTTTAGTCAGAATTATTTTACTGTAAAACAAGGTGAGAATTTACTAATTCACATACACCTAGTTTACTCATTATTATTTTGAGATGGATTTCGTCCTAAAGATTGGACATGTAATAAATTGTACTTTATAATTGGATAACTTACCTTAATAATCAACGTAACGTTTTGTATACAGAAAAAAATTTTGTTGAATAGCAGTGGTATTAATATCATTACCTTTATCATCAAAACAATGGCTGTTTTTTTAATATAGATGGTATGTAGAGGTCATTCTGATAATGAGGTAGTTAGCATCATCGACTGATGTCATTGATAAGTTAATTAAAATTTTAGAGAGTCCTGGATAAATATTTCATTTTAGTACGGGACTTATCAGCTGCATCCATCCAGCAAGTGTCGCCTTATAGTGAAGACCACTATGAAATTGAAATAATCTTTATGAAACATCATGCATCAGTATTTATTTACTCACTGGTTGATATCTTTGAAATGAATACCCAAAGAACCGGTATGATGCTATGGATGATTGCTTAGAGCCATATCAAAACAAAAACAGTCACTAATAAAGCTTTTGTATAACAGTGGCAGAGTGGATGAAGATTGAACTGTAAGCTATTCGATTCTAGCTTACTTATTCAAAATAATCATATCCGTTAAGAAACACGAATATTCTGAGTTCAATCGCGTATGAAATCTTTTATCCAAATCGATAATGAATCCTAAATAACGATAAAACAGTAGTCCCTAGTTAATGCCATTTGACGATAAAAATTATAATCAAGTTGACGATATCGTTTTTATTAATACAGCAATCTTTTAATAATAAGATAATTTGTTAAACGAGGAAGTTTTGAAATAAACACTTTTTAAAAAAATTTATTTATTTGAAAATTTATGGAAATTATTCTACCGATAAATTTTACCCTTTTTTTAGTTTTATTAAACTCATTGGGTTTTTTTTCCAAGAGGACTAAACAATATTTTATTATTAAAATAATAAATAATTACAAATGTATTAGGTCAGTTCACTTTCATCAATGTCTTTTGTTTTACTGAAATTGAATGACTTTCAAAGTAATTCAAATAATAATAATAGTAAGAATAATAATACAAGAGAAATAATTTTATCTAAGTAAAAATGAAAAATGTATGTGAAAGCCAAAAGCAAGAATAATATAAAAATAAATTGTTTTGTTTTTTTGTTTGTATTTAAACAGAGTAATTTAAATGATATCCATGTTAACCGTTCAAATAAATTAAAAAGTAAATTTTTTGTCCTTATCCTGAAAAGAATAATAATTTGAATATATAGATTAAGAACGAAGAAATTTTTTTTCATAACTATGGATAATTATTGCCCCCAAATGCCCTGGTACGGGGCCAAGAGTGGGGAGAGTCCGCTCTCCCTCTCGAAATGCTCTCACGTGGCCACGCGTATATAGCCTCTGCCAGGGAAGTCCTACTCACTGCCCTCTCGTGGCGGGGGTGTTGTTTACGAAAATGAGAGGACGAAAAGCGAATGTTTGGCGCTTTTACCGGATTCCAAACCAATGGTGCACATGGGCTCCAGTATCCTAAAGGGACAAATGACGTATGAACCAATTGTTGGTCACCGGCTACCATGGAACTGCATCTCTTTACGATGCTCCACTGCCTTGTGGATCAGACCTTCAGGTCGAAGGCTCGGGGAGTGGCCCCCTAAGAAAACTACCTGCTTCGGTTTGGGCACCCGGGCAGTACCACAGCCCTCACACATATCGAATGAGATTTGTGTGGCGCATATGTATTTGTTGCCTCCTTGTACCAATATCTATGTGTTAAAATAAATAAATGGATAATTATTGGTTGGTAGAATTGTTTTTTGTTTTTATTTCATCTTCTAACATTAACATTTATACTAACAAACATGTAAGTATTTAAGTTTGTAATTCATTTTACTAACTAATAGTTTGGTTACAGCAACAACAAAAATTGGATGAAAAGTGATAAAGAATCGAACTTAGACAACTAAATGATAACGATAGTCAACAAAGTAGAGAATCTATATAAACAAACAACTCTCCGTAATGTGTCACTGAATAGCTAGTTGGCTGGGTATAACATGATGTAGATTAGTTAAATGTCAAACATCGATAAATATCCACAATATCTAACATCTGATCTTTAAAGATTGAACATGTACTCGTTAAGATCGATTACCGAAATCAAAATCTAGATATGTGCATCTGTAACAGTATGAGCACTCATACTGTGAACTTTAGAATATGTAATATAAGATACAACTGTAGTAAAATAACCTCTGGGCAACTAGATTCCCAAACCTGTAACGAACAACTTTCAGCCTGATTATGATCAATGAGTTTGGCTTTTAAGGATTGCTGTAAAATCAAATTATGTCACATATTTTTCGGCCACATATACATTGAAAGTATGTATCATCTGGTCAAATGATAAGATATAACAAAGCATTTCCAGATTTTTTCTTGGCTATGAAGTTCATGATTTTAATGAGATTCACAATTAATCCTAAAATTGTTGGAGTTCATCCTATTTGTATTAAATCTTTATTCTCAGTAAAAGTTATGAAATAGCGGTAAATCATAATGATTGAAGTAATATTATATTGTGTACGTAAACCTCAAACTATAGTTTTTAATGAGTCTCAACAGGTCAATCTGATGTGGAAGAAATCCTAAAAAATGTACGATTTGCATTGAATAAATGACACTATAAATATTAAGTATTTTAATGCCTTCAGTGACAAAATAAAGTTTCTTGATAAATTTACTAAACTGCTATTTTTCCATATCATGTTTCAAGCTTTGCAAACATATTTGTATTTTTTAAAAATTGAATAATACCAGTATAGTGTTGTGCAGATAGTTGACTTTTGATTGATATCATAAATGGATCAATGTTAGACCACCAAGGAAAAACTTAAAGGCACTGGACGGCCGTTCCGTTCTAGTATGGGAATCCTCAGCAGTGCACAACTACGATCACGAACGTGAAATTCGAACCCACGACCTTCAGTTTCGTGCAAGGACGCTTAACCTCTAGACCACTGAGCCAGCACTCAACGATGTTAATGTCTATCTTCAATCAATCCACGATATTGTTTGACCATCCTCCTTGACCAGTGAAGTTCAAGTATGTTTGATGTGAGGCAGTTAACCACTGAAGACAATGAAGGACAGTCGCGCAATATCGTGAATTTAATAATTTCGAATAAAGGTCAAATTATTCTTTATTTTTTTTAGGAATCTTATTCTCCTAACTATCGTTTGCTAAATTACTGTTCATCTGAAATCAAGTGAAATTCTGTTATTCTAACAGTATACTTTCACATCTACTAAAAATAGAACACACATATTGCTATCTACTTTATGTTTCCCTATTCATATTACTTTACAATTCATGTGATACTTCTCATTACGAATTTGAGATGTTTAAATAATTCATTTTGATTCTTATTTTTTCCATACATCAGGTGACAATGAATTTGCATATACTATATGGAACATATCTAAGTAGTATTAGATTTGGGAAGAAAGTATTGAAAAAACACTAACTGTATAAAAAATATTCTTGCCTAAAATCAATCTAAATTAAATTTAAGCATAAGTACAAAATAAAGAGGTTTTCTAGATTTATTGATATATACAAAAATGGGTCATATATACTATTTATCTGTAATGCTATACGTTTGTATTATACATAATGACAAAATATTCTACTCTTCTTAGTTATATAACAATTTTACATATTCAATATTATTTACCATCTGATAAAAAGAAAATAGGAGAAACAAAAAGAATTTAGTATGAAATTGACAATATTATTGTAAAAAGTACATTTTCGCTGATACGATTTTCTAGATTATCTGACTATTTAAAGACCTTTTACCTTTGAATAAAATAAATTATATTAGACATTTATTATGGTGACTTAATCCTTTTGAATATTATACATAATTTGAAATTAAGTCAATTTGATACGTTATTAATAATTAAGCAGACAAACAATACATCATTGTTTGAACAGTTAAATTTCTCAACTTAAATATGATAATTTGGTATTGATATAAGAGAAAAAGTTGAAAATTTGTTTTTCTTTTATTACAATAACAAAGCAGAGATAAGAATTTTTATTTGGTTAACAAATTAACTTCACTGGTTGAAATCATGAGTCAATTGAAGCTAGACCACCATGGAAAACCTGGAAGCACTGAACGGCCGTTTCATTCTAGTATGGGACTCCTCAGCAGTGCGCATCCACGATCCCGCGCCCCGCGAGATCCGAACCCAGGACCTATCAGTCTCGCGCCAGGCGCTTAACAACTAGACCACTGAGCCGACATCCGACGGTGTTAATGTCTAACCTCAACCAATCCACGAAGTTGCGCCACCGTACACCATTGTCTTCAGTGAGTTCCTATCTCACAACAGACCTGGTTTAACTCCACTGGTAACGACTTCTCACTAGAACTCCAGGAGTGCCTCCTGAAGTCAGTCACTAGTGAGGTGATCATTATTATCAGAATGGGTTTTGTGGAGATTTTTAGAAATTTCACTGGTTGAAATCATGGTGGTCTAGCGTCAACTGATTACTACTAATTACTATCATATGATCAATTAGTTTATATTCAGTTCGGTCAGTCAGTAACAACTTAGAACTTCGTACGTACGTACATCAGTTCGAGTTGCCATACCATATTAGCACAAACATGCAGTTGTCAATTCAAATCCCATAGTGGTAGAGGTGGTAAGGGTATAAGCAGAAATCGGAAAGATTAGGGTTTGAAGATGTTATTCAAGGAGTATTATACAGTGAAATAAATCTGGAAAGAGAAAAAGAAAGGGACATGAAGAATTCAGAAGATTAGAATTTGGGAGGACATGAAGAGTGGATGCACCTGCGCCATTGCAATCGATTTTGAGCCATGTCATTCAGGGTCACTAACCATCGGTCGCTATCATCTCGCGGTCCCCAACCAGGTAGTCTACACCTACCAACATGGCTCAATTCACTTGTCAGTGACTTCATAAATTTGTGCCATGCTGTAGTCTGGCCACCGCTAGCTTTCTTCCAAACTATTACTACACCATAAAACATCTCACTTCGGGGTAGTCGGTGGTTGAGCATACGTAACACATTTCCCAGTCATCTCAACTGATGAAGTTTCACTACTTCGTCGATTGATTTGCCATCCTTACCTAGTACCCGTTTTCTAACAACTGTATTACTTACTCGATGGTCCCAGGATATACGAGCAATGTTTCGAAGACACCTATGATCGAATACTAGTAACCTACGAATATCCTGTACTCTTACCGGCCACGTTTCACTGCCATAAAGTAGGACGGAACGAACTGCTGCGCAGTAAATCCGTCCTTCGGTTGGTAGACAGATATCTCGCCTACGTTACAAATGACTCACGTTGGCAAAAGCTAGTCGAATCCTCTTTATTCGCCCTGGGCTTACGTCACGCACCAGATCCCAGGCTGATGAGACTCCCAAGATAAGTGAAGCGGTCGACACGCTCAACTACTTCACTTCCTATCGTATACCACTAATAGCATTAACAAGTTATACGATTCTTTGATGAAAAGTTTAATTTCATGAACATAAAATTATGACAAAGTGATTTGTTCATATCAAAACCATAAAAAATATTTAAACAGTTGAGTTCACGAGTCAATCTAATGTCAGAGTCACCTAAAGTGATGATTAGGAGGATTGTCCTAAAGACAGCTAAATAAATAAACTGATTATGATTATCACATGTTGAAAATCATCAATGTTTTGTTGATTCACATTCTCATGTTCATATTGGCAAAGTTTACAGAATATCGAATAAATTAAACACTTATTTATCATTAGATCGCACCTCAATATTACTGAATTTATAAGATCATATGAACGAGTTTTCATAAATAACTTAATTTGGTTTCAGACAAAGAAAACTTGCGTGGTATTTAATTATAAGCCATGTAACATTACTTAATTGATCGTTTTTACTTTAGGAAAACTTTAATTTTTTTGGTTATTCAAGGCCAGTAAAATGCCCACAAACACTATGCATAAAATACAGTTTAAATTAATGCTTGCTTGTTTATTTACGTCATTTCAAATCTAAATTCATTTTACACAGGGCAAACCGTTTTCTATATAGTTGAACCATAATCAAGTTTTCGTATATAAAAAGTAGGATTGGGAAAAAAGAAAATCATTGTTCATCTTAGCACTTAGCAGTGTTTGAAGTAAAGTAACTGATTTTACCCAGATACGTTTTAACTTTCTTTCTACACATAGAGACTTTTATACTTCTGATCAGATATAATTATTTGCTCGTAGACCGAGAAGACTATTTTAGTCTGAGAAATAGATTTTTCATCAATCAGCTTTAATAGCAGTTATAAATCAACTTGATTTAGAGTAAATTAAATAGTCTTGGTATATATATAATGTAGGAATACAAAATTTTATAAATATAGACACATACCTTCATACCAGTTTCGCCAAATAGCATATTCTTTACACTTCAATGCTTGCTTTCTAAGCACTGGTAGTAAAGCAGTAGGAAAGAAATCTAATATAAAAGCAAAAAAAATTAAAAAATGTTGATAGATATCAAGAGGTCAACAGACAAAAAATGGATGCATTTTCTATATATTACGGCCAGATTTAATACATTACATTTCATCTACGTGAACAGTATTAATTGAAAGAAACAAAGGATAAAGAGGTCAGCATATCATTCTTTGGAACCTAAGCTTACGTAAAATAGACGGAAGGTGGTTAATAAGTCGATTTAGGATGAGATTTGTGTCCTCTTTCAAACTTATCGAATAGATTTTTCTGAATCCTAATATTGACGTTCACTACAGGATTTGAACTTAGTGTCTTTTGCTTCAAACTCCTAAAGAGTTATCTCATTAGCTACTGAGTCCTCAGGTATTGGATTATGATTCCATAGTGAATATCAACTCTGAGATACAAGTATTTCCCCAAATGAAAAAAAGTGCGACCTCGAAGCCACTGCCATACGTGATCCATATATTTTACAAAAACTTGTGACATAAGATCTATATTGAGGCAATCCACACAGGATGTAAATCTGCAAACAAAGAAAGATTCAAATTTATTCTCTAATATCAACAACAGGTTGAATTACAAGTATCTAAGTTCATAATTATTTAGATAATTTACTAATAAAGGGTTATGTATTTTGCTTTGCGATACAGCTTATCTGAGTGACAGCGATACTGTGTGGACAGAAGTTAATGAACAGGTTCTAAAAACTGTGATGTACTAGTTCAGTCCTAAATGCTTCGATCACTAAGCTAAGGATTCTTGTTTCATGCAATTACTGATAAATTTCTCCATTTATCTCCATGAGAAAATGATTTCAGTAGAATAATTAGATCATTTTATAATAGTTCTTATCTGTTTTTGACAAGTAATTTTTTTAATTAAGATGTTTCAGAAATATCTCAATATATTACCCTTTATTCAGTCAAAATGAGTTTTCTGGTTATATGAATAAGCAATAACGTTTTATAGTACAAACTTCCCCAAAACATTTGGAATCTTATTCAACAAAAACAAGAGTATTGTGAAATTTAGAATAAGAGATCAATGAAGAGAATAAATAAGTGGTAATTAGCTGAGTTTAGTTAACTGGATATATTAGTTTAGTGTGAACTAATAAGTATTTTCAAAAAATATGAAAGGCGTTGTTAGGAAAGATAGTCGGTTGTTTAATTGCAACGAGGAATGAGGATTCAGGTTATTTTATTCATTGATTCTTTTTCATGTATCCTATGTTTGCCAGTAACCTAGCAACTTTGTTATTATAAATATTCTTTCTATTTCCAGGATTTCGAAATAAAGACAAGCAGCCCAAAACAAATTTTTCAGTCCTTTGAATATATATATATAACCCATCATTCATGAATCAATAGATACATCGAAAACACAAGATCTGTCGGCCCATACACAAAAGGACAGGCAATTACACTGTCGGGAGCCAACCGAAGAAGACAGGTGATATGAATATAAAGATAAATGAAGACAACAAAGCCTAAGATTATAAGCAACCGCAAACCACTAGGAAAAACCGATTCATTACTCGTGAAATAAGTAAGAGGCTCACTTTCACATGACAAGGGCTCTGGTGGTTTTCAGAACGACAAGGAAGGCTCCGCAATGAAACCATCTAGTTCAGTGAACTAAACAACACCAAGACTTCTGTAGTGTGATTTCCTTCTTTCTGATTTGAAATATCGTCTTTAGATCTGAAATTACCTGACTTCTCACGGGGAGTCATATCAGCCTTGATAGTTCAACCACTGAAAAAATCACCATAAATATAAGACTTTAGTTTGTTCATTGAGGACTATTCATAAAATTATATAAAACCGTCTGTCGTGCCAAAAATTCGCTAATTATTCGCATTAATCTTGATCCTGAGGTTAACTTCACAACATAATTTTTTTAGAATTAACTGTTTATTTTAAACTTTGATTCCTATTTATTATTTCCTTCCCAAAGTTTCGTAAATTCATATGTAGACATAATGATATGAATTGTGGCAAATTGGAACAAATAAACAACTGTGTTAATTACTACATTGTTTATGAATACCTGTTTAAGATCCCCGTTGCATGACTTCAGTAAATTATCTGAAACATAACTGGAATGTAAAATTGCGTGAAACAGTCAATATGGCTCAAAGTTCTAAAGGCTTAAATAACTACTCTCAAGTGATGTCTCAACCACACGCGTATTCAAAATTCAGCTTTGTTTCAAATTACTACTCTTACTAATTAAATGAAGTATACGTTTGTGGTTTCTCAGAAGGATAAAACACATCCTCTTTACTAATATAAGTACTTAATAACACAATGTAATAATTAATTTCTTTCTCAAGCCATTTGTACTTTTAGTAAAATTTCAAGACATTCAGATATCTTCAAACGATTATGTCTGGTGTATTTGTTTAATAAAAAGTTACCTATCTTTATATCGATGAGCTTTTCTCCGTAATAGCAAACAGATATCGTAAAGTACCTTGGTGAACTGTTTCCCTTCTCAATTTATTATAACAAAATAACTCCATAAGTAAAGTTGATAACAGCTTTGTAATTCAAATCTACAGTATTTGGTGGTCCAGTATCTGACTCCAGTAATATCGTATGATTGATATCGAAATACACACGCCGGCTATCCTTATACATAATTAACGATCTAATCCGAGTTAGTGAACGATGGAATTAAATAAGCCAAATACGAGAATGGATTTTGAATATGTATCTTTCATTCAGTCATTGATTTGAACAGGTAACCAGGGAGATGAAACAAAGAGGGGAGAGTGAAGCAGATTGGAGAAGGCGTGTGAGCCAACTCGATTTAATCAAGCGTGAATCGATATTTATAGTCAGACGAAAATAAGTTGCAGACATGTGATCACAATTTTGTAATGTCACTTAAAATTGAATAACTGGATTGTTTATTGAGTAAGTAAACAAATATCACTGACAAGTGTCAAAATTTCGGTATATTCTTACGATAACGAAACTGTGACTTATGAATCCAATCAAACTTTGAACAAGACATTAATTCGCCGATGCAACTGATTGTGGATTGCGTTATCCTGGTACTTGACGGAGGTTGAACAATGTACACCACTACGTTTTGACATAAAATTTTGGTTATATGATACTCGTTGCAAGATCTTAACGACCTGGTTCTTTTACATAGGGAGTCAGTAGCCATAGCTTATAAGTCCCAAACCAGGAGAATGTAACTCTCTAATCCAACCTAATTTACGGAGGTTATCTTGCTAATATCAATTCATTATGGTAGGTCGTTTTGGAATTCTTATAGTGTTACACTTTATATATATATATATATATATATATATATATATATATATATATATATATATATATATATATATATATATATATATATATATATAATTTCCTAACATGTTAGATTTCAAATACTCTTAAATTTTCAGTAAACTGACAGTTGGACTGTGTTTCTGTAGTATTTAAAAGTCATTATACACAGCCAAACTTCTGCCTAGTACCCTCTGGTTTTCACTGGTATTACCCTAACATTCTTTAGCTCTGTACGGAATACATACCCCATGCAACATACATTTTATTAGAACTTATTAGTTTGAAGATAATATAAATAATACAGAAATAAAACAGTAAATCACGACATTCAATCAACCATGAAATCACTCTAAAAACCCGTTATAATCTAAGTTTTAAATGTTTTGTCCAAAAACAAATTTAAAAAAAAGTAATTTTAAAACGTTCTAAAACTAATAACCTGATGATTTTTGAATGAGCACTTATGTAAAGAAAAAATAAATGCTCTGTCTAAACTACTTTTTACTCAAATGTTTCCATAGTAATTAAAATTTATCATTTATAAAATTAATAAATAAATAAATAAAACATAAACATGTTTTGATCGTCACTATATAAGCTTCATGAATGTTCGTTAAATAGAGATATCTATGAATGTATGATTCAAGTTGAAAAAACTGAATTTGTTATTCATTAAATTATAAATTCTATCGTGATATACTAGTAATGTCAAGTTAGTATTCATCACAATGAGATAGCAGATGGTGAGTAATTTATAAACTATTAAACTTTTTAGGGATCATAGTAAGATCATCCTCTTACTTAAAGCACATTAGTAAGATAATAAAAAGGGTTAAATTCGTTATGTTACAAAGTGTATGCATCACATATCTAAATATTGTATTATTTTATTAAAGTGCACGCATAAAAGTATAAAAATATTGGTAATTGTATGTAACTATTTAACTATTAATGTGTAAATGTGATTTTTAGTGTCAAATACTGTAATACAACATATTGCAACTAAACATTGTCATCACATAAATTGTAAACATTCCTAATAGTAAGAAGAATTTATTTCTTTGATCCTTCCGTGTTGGATAACTGGGAAATTTCTATAAATAAACTTACATACCCTAAGAATAAAACAAGTTACATATCAAGAAGTTCTCATTAATGACCTCAGTTTACGAATAAACGAATAGAGAACACAATATATGTATTATAGTTATTATCAGATGAGTTAAAACACTGATCGAGAATTTTCAATAATTCATACAATTGACCATAAAGACCGTAAAACAACAGCTGTTTACCGGTAAGTAACAGATGAGTCTATATAATCAAATTCATTGTAGATTCAACAACATTCTAAAGGGTCCTAAAGTTATGTTGGTAAATTTCACACTAATGAAAACTAGTATATTGTTCTGGTAGTGTTAGTTCTACAGAATACAAATTTTGAGAGTATATTTCCATAAATATCAACATTCAGCTGACTAGTTTCAAATCGGACAAAACGCGTATTATTGATTCAATGGTCAGAAATCATCAAATTCCGTAAACTTTCCCTATTATTAAGCTTAATTAAGCAATAACAATAAACGTAGCAGAATAACATGAATTTTCGATATTATGATATAAGGTATCTAAGCTGGTTTTTAAATATTAATACTATTATGTTTGGGATGTTAGCAGCTGA